GTCTCGAACTCCTGAGCTCAGGCAATCTGCCCATCTTGGCCTCCAAAAGTGCTAGGATTGCAGGCATGGGGTAACGCACGAGGCCTGGAGGTGACTCTTAAGGGATACATTCTTAGAAGTGCGCTCGCTTGCTGTGTCAATAGGTATGTGCATATATAATTTAATTAAATACTGCCAGCTTGCCTCTATAGGACTTAAAACGTTTTGCATTCCCACCAACAACGTATGAAAATGCCTGCTTCTCTACTGTCTCACCAATAGAGAGTACTGTTAAGCTTTTAAATTTCTGACAATCTGATGGGTGAGAAATGGCATCTCAGTGTGGTTTTAATTCACGTTTCTCTTTTTCGTTGAGACCAAGTTTCACTCTTGTTTCCCAGGCTGGAGTGCAATGGCGCAATCTTGGCTCACCACAGTCTCCCCGTCCTGGGTTCAAGTGATTCTCCTGCCTCAGCCTCCCGAGTAGCTGGGATTACAGGCGTGTGCCACCAGGCCCAGCTAATTTTGTATTTTTAGTAGAGATGGAGTTTCTCCATGTTGGTCAGGCTAGTCTCAAACTCCCGACCTCAGGTCATCCACCTGCCTCGGCCTCCCAAAGTGCTGGCATTACAAGTGTGAGCCACCACGTCCAGCCTGTCTCTCTTACCATGAGTGAATTTAACATCTTTTCATGTATGTATACATCTTTTGACAAAGAATCTGTGCATGTCTTTTGCCCACTTTTCTATAGGATTTCTAGTCTTTTCCCCTCAATTATTTATTTTTTTTTTGTAGATGGAGTTTCACTCGTTGCCCAGGCTGGAGTACAATGGGATGATCTCAGCTCACTGCAACCTCCGATTCACGGGTTCAAGCAATTCCCCTGCCTCAGACTCCCGAATAGCTGGGATTATAGGCATGCACCAGCATGCCCAGCTAATTTTCTCTTTTTAGTAGAGATGGGGTTTCAGCATGCTGGTCAGGCAAGTCTCAACTCCTGACCTCAGGTGATCTGCCCTCTTTGGCCTCCTACAGTGCTGGGATTACGGGCATGAGCCACTGTACCCGGCCTCAGGATTAACCCTTTATCAGAGAAATATGGTGATTTGGAATATGTTGATAAGGATTTTTGGCAGTCATTTGTCTTTGCTATAATGGTACACTTTGTCCATGCAAACGATTTTTGGTATCTGTAGTTTTTATTTATTAATCCTGTATTGACTCTGGATTTCGAAGTAGAAAGCCTCTCCCTATATTAGGTTAAAGATTATTTCATCCATGTCTCCTTCTAACATTTAAAAATGTTTTTCACATTGAAATCTCTGACCCATTAGAAATTCTCATGTGTGATGAGAGGAATGGAATTTTATTATTTTCTAAATGGCTAGTCAACGTCCCATTTATTAAAAGAATATTTGCCACAGTCATGTGAGATTCCAGCTTTCTGACAGGCATTTTTAAATGCATTCTGCTCTTTTATTTATGTTACTTTGACCTATTCACCTGCCAGTACCACGCTGTTTAAATTATAGAGGCTTTGTAAAGTTTTCAAATCTGGACGGCCTCGTCCCTCTAAAGCACTTCCTGTGCCGCATTTTTGTAGCAATTCTTAGTTGAAGTTTCCATATGAATTTTAGAATTAACTTATAGTCCATGTCAATGAAAAAACTCATTAGAATTTTTAATGAGATTGTACAATTTTGTAAATTATAAAGTTAGTGAGAGAGACTGACATCTTCATTATATTGAGATGTTTTCCAAGAAGAGAGGATGCCTTTCTATTAATTGAAGTCTATTTTTGGTTTCAGTGGTGCTTTATAGTTCTCTACTTATTGGTTTGGAATATTCTTTATTAAACTTATTCCTAAATATTTTATCTTAATCCAATGTTACCAAAATTGGAGTCACTATTTTTTTTTGAGATAGTTTTTCTTTTGTTGCCCAGGCTAGAGTGAACTGGTGCAATCTCGGCTCACCTCAACTTCCACCTCCCTGGTTCAAGCGATTCTCTTGCCTAAGCCTCCCAAATAGCTGGGATTACAGGCAAGTGCCAGCATGCCTGGCTAATTCTGTATTTTTAGTACAGACAGGGTTTCTCCATGTTGGTCAGGCTGGTCTTGAACTCCCGACTTCAAGTGATCCACCCGCCTTGGCCTCCCAAAGTGCTGGGATTACAGGCGTCAGTCACCACTCCCGGCCTGGAGTCACTAATTCTATATTTCATTTTGTGCTGTTTTTAGGTATTAACAGCCAGGGCTATTACATTCCAGAGTTCAGACAGAGTAACCCTAAAGTGATGTTTTGGTAGCATGTTTTTTCTTTTCAGAAAACCTGTAACTGAATGCTGTGTGGTAGTGTTAGGCATAGATTTCTTATTTCCATGAAACACTAATATTCATTTCTGGTGTGGTTTTCTACTAACCCAATTCTTTTGCCCTTCTCTCATCACCACTTTTATCTAAAAGAGAGGTTTCAGATGTAGCTAGCAGAGACATTATTAAAAACAACAACAACAACAAGAACAAAAAAAGAGTTCAGTTTTATTTATTTATTCTTTTATTCAGACGGAGTCTTGTCGCCCAGGCTGGAGTGCAATGGCATGACCCCGTTTCACTGCAACCTCCGCCTCCCAGGTTCAAGTGATTCTCCTGACTCAGTCTCCCAAGTGGCTGGGATTACAGGCTCCCACCACGACACCTGGCTAATTGTTGTGTTTTGAGTAGAGATGGGGTTTCACCATGTTGGCCAGGCTGATCACAAACTCCTGACTTCAAGTGATCCACTCGCCTCAGCCTCCCAAAGTGCTGGGATTACAGGTGTGAGGCACTGCACCCGGCCTGTTTTTTACTTCTATATCATTTATCAGGTCCATTTTGAGTGAATGGCCATAGAAACTTCCTATGGAAAAACACTCTGAAGTAAAAGGTCAATATATATGCTGGAATGGTTATTATTTCTATTTATATTCTCTGCAGAAAGTTTTAAACTGCTGGCATGAAATGACCCCATACTATACATATGCGTGCATGTGTGCATACCCCACCCCCAAACACACACACTTGGCTTCCCTTGTGACTTCAGCTCTGGCCATTGGAGAACTCACTGACGCAAAACAGGCTTCAGTGAAAATGTGCTGATGAGGGCTGTCTCCAGTGGTCCCAGGCCATCCCCACCAAAGCTAGCCTGAAGATCATCTCCAGCTAAGACGTTGGGGTCAGTGACCGCCACCTGTTATTCTTTCATCTATCCTCCCAACATGAATTCTCCCAAACTAAAATCTCTTTCTTTTCATTCTGGTGAAAAACCCCTCTGAGCCAGCAGTGACTCCAAGCACTGGGGAGACTGACCATGCAGTCAACACTTGGTGCTGAAGGCACAGAGCCAGGGCCAGGGCCAGCCTTGATGGAGCCATTTGCTCAGATCTGAGGCATTTGGGCTCTGGCGATCTGGGGATCAAGCAACAGGAGGGATTACAGCAAAAGGGGCAGTGCCTTGGGCTCGATAGAAGGGTGGGTGGCTTCAGAGCCTTAGTTCCTGACTCGAGTTTTAAAGAAGGTTGTGGCTGAAGGGCTGGATCACTGGAACGCAGGCATAGTTAACATGACAGAGATGCGAATAAATGCCCTTACATCTGGCGTCAGGGAAGTTGAGTGTGTGGCTAGTGGCTCTCATCACAGACACTGGAAGACATAAGAAGAGGTGAGGTTGAAGGCCATAATATCCCTGTCCCATAGGACAGTAATCTAGAATTCAGGTCTAGAATCCAAGAAGTTGAATGCCCTGGGGTTCTGCTCAACAGATCAGTGAATGAGGTACACAGCCAGGCATGCAGCTTTGTAGAGAAGCAGTTTATTAAAACAAAAGGCCATAAAATACAAAGTACTGCTGTGCAGAAAGTAAAGCATAAACCAACTATCTCACGATCAATGAAAGAAAGCAACTCTTTTTTTTTCCCCATTCCGTATCAGGAAAGTGGAACATCTATGATTGATGTCTGCCATCTTCACACTTACGGAGGAAGGGCAGGAGCAGTGAGGAGAGCACTCTGACAGCAGGAGTTGATGGCCAGACGTGAACTTTGGAAGTCCAGAAGACAGAATGTTATGGACTAAATTGTGTCCCTCCCCACCCCAATTCATACGTATGTTGAAGCCCTAATCCCCAATGTGATTGCATACAGGACATTTAAAGTTGTAATTAAAGTTAAAATGAGGTCTTCAGGGTGTTGCCCTAATCCAGTATCGCTGGTGTCCTTATGACGAGAGTCAGCAGGAAAGTGTGTGTACAAATAAGCTATGTGACGCCACAGAGGGAGGGCAGCCATCTGCAGGCCAAGTTCAGATGCCTTAGTAGAAACCAAACCTGCCAACATCTCATTCTAGGACGTCCAGCTTCCTGAACTGTGAGAAGATAAGTGTTCTATTGCTTAAGACACCCAGTCTGGTGTTTACTTATGTCAACCCTAGCAAATTAATACAGGTTTTGGTACTATGGTTGGGATGCTTTGTAACAAACCTACAACGTTGAAGTGGCTTGGAACTGGGTACTTGGTAGAGGGAATCTAGAAGAGTTTTGAGGCACATGCTAGAAAAGCCTGGATGGGCCTTAAAACACTGTTGGTAGGAAAGTAGATGTTAAAGGTTCTGGGCTGGGTGTGTTGGCTCAAACTTTGAGAGGGCAGGCCGGGCGCGGTGGCTCAAGCCTGTAATCCCAGCACTTTGGGAGGCCGAGGCGGGTGGATCATGAGGTCGAGAGATCGAGACCATCCTGGTCAACATGGTGAAACCCCGTCTCTACTAAAAATACAAAAAAATCAGCTGGGTATGGTGGCGCGTGCCTGTAATCCCAGCTACTCAGGAGGCTGAGGCAGAAGAATTGCCTGAACCCAGGAGGCAGAGGATGCGGTGAGCCGAGATCGCGCCATTGCACTCGAGCCTGGGTAACAAGAGCGAAACTCCGTCTCAAAAAAAGAAAAAAAGAAAAAAAAAAAAAACTTTGAGAGGGCAAAGCAGGAGGATCATTTGAGGTCAAGTGTGAGACCAGCCTAAGCAACATGGCAAAAACCCGGATCTACAAAATGTGTGGGGTTTTTCTTGTTTGTTTTAAATTTTAAGGAATGTGTAACTGGAAACTGGAATCCTTGCAAAGGACTTACCCAAATGCATTCGAGTGTTTTGTGGCGTATAGAACTTGGGAGTGAGGCAGTGCAGGATATTCAGGTGATATTTCTACACAAAGCGATGAAGCACAGCCTGTTTTCTCCTTGCTCTTTATAGGAAAATGTGAGAGGAGAAGGATAAATGGAAGGAAGGCTTAAGCAAAAAAGAACTAGTACTTAAAGATTTGAAAAATTCTCCGACTGTTCACATTGCAAAAAATGAGAAAGTATGTTCTCAAAAGAACACTATGGTGTGGCTGGACAATCACATGATAAAGAGTTTAGTGTAGGTCTGAATGGAAGCGATGAACCAGCTCACCAGAAATGCTCCAAGCTTGAACTGAATAGAGAAAGAGACAGGACAAAATGAAGGCAGGCCGTGGGACTGGGATTCCACAGGAAGGTACAATAGAGCTATCCAGCTGCAAACATAAGTAAATCTTCAAGAAAAGGGAAGAATCTGATTCTCAAAGCTTCTCATGAGCCCAGAGCGTACAGGTCTAGAGGGCAAGCGCGTCTCCTCCTCAATTTCAGTGGGCCAGGAGCCGCTGCCCAGGGCTAAGGGAGCAACCCTGCAGCTCCCATGAGCCCACAAAGCAGGTGTACAAATCCAGCTGGCCCAGAGCGCAGAGCACTGAGCCAAAGGAGATTGTTCCCAAGACTGAAAATCTATGGAAGTTGCCTTGCCAGGTTTGAGACTTGATTGGGATCCATCATTCCGCATTTCCTTCTCATGTCTCGCTTTTGGAATGGGGAAGTCCAGCCTCTGCTTATCCCACCATTGTATAATATTTTGGAAGCAGATAATCCGTCTGGTTTCACAGGATCACAGCTGGAGAATTTTGCCTAAGGATGAACTGTACCTAAAGTCTCACTCATGCCTGATTTAGATGATATTTAAATGAGATTTTGGATCCAGAGTTCAGGTTGAATTGGGTACACAATTTTAGGACTGCTGGGATCACGTGAATGCATTTTGCATGTTAAAAGGATCTAAACTTTGCTAGTGGAGCGGCACAGACCAAATGTGGTTTCCCAAAAGCTGCTGAAGTCCCAGCCCTGCAGTGTGACTCTATCTGGAGATGGGACCTTGAAGGTTATGAAGGTTAAATGAGGCATGTGGCTATGGCCCTATTCAAAATGACTGGTATCCCTACAAGAAGAGGAACTCACACCAGGAAAGCATCCACACAGAAAAAAGGCCACGTGAGGACACGGCCAGGGAGCAGCCATCCGCAAGCCACGCAGAGAGGTTTTAGCAGCAATCAAACCTACCAATACCCGGATCTGGGACTTCCGGCCTCTGTAAATGTGAAAATACATTTCTGTTGGTAAAGTCACCCAGCCTGCGGTACTTTGTTATGGAACCCCTAGCAAGCTAAGACAAATTGTGAATATAGAAAGTAAACCAAAAGCAACTATCTTATCATCGATGAAACAAAGCTACATTTTTTGTTTCCGTTCCATTTCAGGAAACTGAAGCATTTACTAGTGATTTCTGCCAGCTTCACACTGACGAGGAAAGGAAAGGTCAGAAGACCTCTTGTGGTAGGAGCCGATGGCCAGACTTGGTCCTCCTGTGTCTATGCAAGTGAGACTTCTGGCTAAAGCCACGCCCACACTCCTTGCAGACGTAGGGCTTCTCCCCAGAATGGGTCCGCTGATGGCGGATGAGGGCAGACTTAAAGCCGAAGCCGCGCCCACACTCATCACAAACGCAGGGCTTCTCTCCTGAGTGTGTCCTTTGGTCAGAGATAAGCTGTGACTTCTGGTCAAGTCCTTGCCCACACACCCTGTCTACATAAAGCTCCTCCTCTGAGTGTGTCCTCTGGTGTCGGGTCAGGAGTGACTTAAAGCCGAAGGCACGCCCACACTCCGGGCACAGGTAGGGCTTCTCCCCAGTGTGTGTCCTCTGGTGCCTGAGGAGAGTGACCTTCTGACCAAAGCCACGGCCACACTCCGGGCACAGGTAGGGCTTCTCCCCTGTGTGTGTCCTCAGGTGTCCGACGAGGGTGACCTTCTGGCTAAAACCCCGGCCACACTGGGGGCACAGGTAGGGCTTCTCCCCTGTGTGTGTCCTCTGGTGCCTGATGAGAGTGACCTTCTGGCGAAAGCCGTGCCCACACTCAGCACAGACATAAGGCTTCTCCCCTGAGTGTGTGACCTGATGGCTGAGCAGGAGGGACTGCTGCCTGAAGCCACGCCCACACTCAAGGCACAGGAAGGGCCTCTCACCAGTGTGTGAGCTCTGGTGCTGGAGGAGGGACGCCTTCTGGCAAAAGCCTCTCCCACACTCGGGACACACGAAGGGCTTCTCTTCCCAGTGTGTCCTCTGGTGTAGAATGAGGGCTATCTTCTGGCGGAAGCCTCGCCCACACTCCTGACACACAAAGGGCCTCTCCCCGGAGTGAACCCTCTTGTGATTAGTCAGAGAGGACGTATACCTGAAGCGTCGCCCGCATTCCCTGCACACATACGGCTTCTCGCCCGAGTGCTTCCTCTGGTGGATGGAGAGCGAGGCCTTCTGGCTAAACCGACGCCCGCACTCAGCACACAGGTACGGCTTCTCCCCGGTGTGTGTCCTCTGGTGCTTGATAAGGTCTGACCTCTGGCAAAAGCCTCTCCCACATTCAGGGCACACATGATGCTTCTGGTGGCTGAACAGGCTTGACTTTTTGCTAAGTCCCAGTCTACAGTTTCCACGTGTGACTGCTCCAGATTCTGAGATGTCTACTGCCTTCAACATTGTGTCTGAGCCCCCAGGACTCATCCTCTGGGCCAGGCCACGGTCTATTCCTCCTTCTCTGTTGTCTTCCACCCATTCTACCGGGTCACCTTGATGTGAGCCGAAGAATGTCCTAGAAATTCTGCTTGGCCTCTTTCGTAATGAGGTGTCGGGGACTTCTGTCTCTCCACTTTCTCCTTTTGCACTAGAGCAGCTTGGAGCTTCTAGCTGGAAGTCATTTCCCGCAGATGAGCTGGAGGAGATCTGGGTGGGACGACCACTTAGCGCATACTGTCTGAGGAGCTGCGAGCTAGAAAAGGCCACCAGGCGGGGAAGACGGGGCTGGAATTCTGTCCTAGGCTCTGCTAGAGAGAAAGTCTCGGTCAGAATCGCCACGGGTGCCTGTGGATTGTAATACCTGCCCAACAGTTATTTGTCAGATGCTCACAACAAAGACCTATCTTCCATCCCACAAGGGCACTTTACATGCTCTACTGCAGCACAGAAAACCCATACTACAAACTAGTCCTATCAGCCAAACGAAAAAGTTCAAACGAGCATCACGGGCAGCTTCAGCTCTATACGTTGCTGCAAGCAGAGTTACACATCTATCTTCCCTTCCTGGGCACTGCTTCCTTGCTTTTGCTCCAGCTCAAGCCTATTAAACCTTGCCTGAGAAACGTTTGGCCTGCTGTTTACGCAAGAGCCAAGGACTTGGTGTCTGGGATGCAGTAACAGACTGATTACCATCTTGAAGGAGCTATAAATAAGATCTAAGTATCTGGGCCGGGTGCAGTGGCTCATGCCTGTAATCCCAGCAGTTTGGGAGGCCAAGGTGGGCGGATCATGAAGTCAGGAGTTCGAGACCAGCCTGGCCAACACAGGGAAACACTGTCTCTACTAAAAATACAACATTAGCTGGGCATGGTGGCGTGCACCTGTAGTCCCAGCCACTTGGGAGGCTGAGGCAGGAGAATGCTTGAACCTGGGAGGCGGAGGTTGTGGTGACTGGAGATCATGCCACTGCACTCCAGCCTGGGTGACAGGGCAAGACTCCATCTCAAAAAAAAAAAAAAAAAAAGTTCTAAGTATCTGAAGGGGAGTCATACTTTGGGCTTCCTTGACTGTGGTGTCTCAGGTAAGGGGCAGCAGTGAATCAGATAAGCTGTAGCAAGAGATACTGGTTCTCATGTGGAATAGGTTTTAGGCCAGCGACTTCCATATCAGTCTGATGTGAGCCGTCTCCTGAACTGCAGTATGGACACTCTAAGTCCTCCCGAAGAAGAGGAATCCCTGATGCTGTCCTCCTGCAAACAAGGATGCTGCCCTCTAGCCTCTGGGCAGATTGCTGTCAACTATGCTCCCCGAATAACACTGCATAACACTGAGCAAACTGTTTTGCTCAACAATCCAGCATTTTTTTTTTTTTTGAGATGGAGTCTCTGTTGCCAGGCTGGAGTGCAGTGGTGCAATCTCAGCTCACTGCAACCTCTGCCTCCTGGATTCAGGCAATTCTCCTGCCTCAGCCTCCCAAGTAGCTGGGACTACAGGTGTGTGCCACAATGCCCAGCTAATTTTTGTATTTTTAGTAGACAGGGTTTTCACCACATTGACCAGGATGCTCCATCTCTTGATCTTGTGATTTGCCCACCTCCGCCTCTCAGAGTGCTGGGATTACAGGCATGAGCCACCGAGCCCAGCTGCAAGCCAGGATTATTAAAAACTCTGGTGAATTAAGGAGAAGCTCAGTGTTTGAAGGTTAATAATAGATAACTTCTTATTAACACAAAGATGTTTCAGGGATTATACGTATTTTGGCTTAAGCATATTCTTATCCATGCACTAAAACTGTTAAAACTATAGGAATTGGCTTTTTAAAAACATTTTGTTTCTAGGTTTAAATAAGCTGCCAATTGGAGATAATACTAATTCCTACCATGGTATAAATTAAAGGCCCCGGAAATTGGCAGCGCTTTCAGCGTCCATAAGTTCATACCGTAAGTCCTAGGTAATTATGGACTAAGTTCTTTTTTTTTTTTTTTTCACATGGAGTCTCGCTTTGTCACCCAGGCTGGAGTGCAGTGGTGTGATATTGGCTCACTGCAACCTCTGCCTCCCACGTTCAAGTGATTCTCCTACCTCAGCCTCCCAAGTAGCTGGGATTACAGGTGTGCGCCACCATGCGCGGCTAATTTTTGTATTTTTAGTGGAGACAGGGTTTCACCATGTTGGTCAGGCTGGTTTCAAACTCCTGACCTCAAGGGATCTGCCTGCCTTAGCCTCCCGAAGTGCTGGGATTACAGGTGTGAGCCACTATGCCTGGCAGGACTGAATTCGTTTTTTTTTTTTTCTTCTGAGTACAGATCCTCCCTTAAGGACTCAATTCTTATAAGTCACGTGGGACACTCCTCAATAGAGAAGTCTGCTTTCATCATCTCTGAAATTGTTTGCTGTAGTGAGTAAATAAAGTATTCAGTAAGAGAAAAATAAGGCATTTTCCTATGCATTGCTAGTTTCTCTTTTTTAACTTACTTTTGCTTAAAGACTCCTGCTATAACTCAGATTAGAAATTGAGTCTCCTGGAACAATTTTTTTCTTTCTTTTTTTTTTTGAAAAGGAGTCTCACTCTGTTGCCCAGGCTGGAGTGCAATGGCATAATGTCAGCTTATCGCAACCTCCACCACCTGGTTTCAAGCAATCCCCTCACCTCAGCCTCCTGAGTAGCTGAGATTACAGGAGCATGCCACCACGCCTGGCTAATTTTTTGTATTTTTAGTAGAGACAGGGTCTCAGCATGTTGGCCAGGCTGGTCTTCAACTCCTGACCTCAAGTGATCCATCTACCTTGGCCTCCCAAAGTGCTGGGATTACAGGCGTGAGCCACCGCACCCAGCCCCAGGAACAAATATTTAAGGGCACTGATCAGAAATGTACCCGGTAAGTAGAGAGCCATAGCAAGAAACGGAATCAGGGTTTCAAGTGCCCTAACACAACAGAAGTGAACAATTTAATGGAATTAAACTACTTAACAGAAGACCCTTGGTTCAAGGCAGAGGATTATAAATACAATACTGATTTGTATGTTATTTCATTTGCTAACTACTTTTACTCACAGAGTATGTGTTTCTTATTTTTGACCATACTATTCCTAAGAAAAACTCTTCGTATAATTGATTGGAGTCAGTAAGATCATATCTGCAAGAAGGAACTTAAGCGGCTTTAGGGATGGCCATTGATATTCTATCTGGAACACAGAGAAGGTTCTTGGTATTAAAATATTCCAGTGGAAAAAGATGTGAGTTTTGCAAGATTACAGGATGCAAAATCACAATAACATAATCTATTTTATCTCTATGTACCATCAATAAACAACTGAAAATTGACATTTAAAAACAGCATCAGGCTGGGTGCGGCGGCTCATGCTTGTACTCCCAGCACTGTGGGAGGCTGAGGCAGGCAGATCATGAGGTTAAGAGATCAAGACCAACCTGGCAAACATGGTGAAACCCTGTCTCTACTAAAAATACAAATATTAGCTTGATGTGTTGGTGTGCGCCTATAGTCCCAGCTACTCCAGGAGGCTGAGGCAGAAGAATCGCTTGAACCTGGGAGGCAGAGATTGCAGTGAGCCGAGATCGCACCACTGCACTCCAGCCTGGGCGACAGAGCGAGACTCCATCTCAAAAAAAAAGAAAAGCATCAAAATATGAAATACTTAGGGAAAAATCTGACAAAAGATATGTAAGGCCAGTATACTAGAAATGACAAAACAATGCAGACAAAAATGAGAGAAGCCTTTGTAAATGGAGAGCTACACTGTGTTCATGGACTGTAAGACACAGTGTTAGTTATGTGTAAGTTCTCCACAAATTGATGCAGATTCAACTCGATCCCAATCAAAATATCAGCAGACATTTTTGGTAAAAACTGACAAGCTGATTCTAAAATTTACATGAAAAAAAAAAAAAGAATAACAAAAAGAACTTGCAAAAAAAGCAAAGATGGAGGAGCTCCGTTTTCTGTTTTTGTTTTTCTTTTTAGATGGAGTCTTGCACTGTCGCCCAGGCTGGAGTGCAATGGCTCAATTGTGGCTCACCGCTACCTCCACCTCCTGGGTTCACGGGATTCTCCTGCCTCAGCCTGCCGAGTAGCTGGGATTACAGGCACCCAACCACCATACCTGGCTAATTTTTTGTATTTTTAGTAGAGATGGGGTTTCCCTATGTTGGCCACACTGGTCTTGAACTCCTGACCTCATGATCCACTCACCTTGGCCTCCCAAAGAAGATGGAAGATTTACAGTGAGTTCAAGACCTACTAAAGCTACAGTGATCAAAACTGTAGGATTGGCATACAGACACTAACAGAGGAGTAGAAAAAACATAGAGTCCAGGTATAGACCTTTCACACATGGTCAACTGATTTTTCACAAAGGTACATAGGAAATTCAGTAAAAAAAAGGGGTAGCCTTTTCAATAAACCGTGCTGGAAAAATTAGATATTTGTAAGCCCTTCCTCCCCTATGAAAAGTACATAAATTCAGCCCTTTTATTAAGCATATTTACTCAAAATAGGTTTACAGACCTAAATGTATTTATAAATTTTAAAACTACTAAAAGAAAACATATGAATATCTTTTGACCTTAACTTAGACTAAAATTTCTTAAATACACTACTACCAAAACTGCAAGTTCATAGAGAAAAAAATAGAAAACTAGACTTCATCCAAATTAAAATTTTTCTCTTTGAAAGGCACTATTAAGGTTCGAAAAAGTAGACCACGGAAAAAAATGTTTGCAAATCATAAATCTGATAACGGACTTCTACACAGAATATCTGAAGAACTCTCAAACTCAACAGTACAAAAATAAGAAACCACATTCTTAAATGGGCAAAAGATGTGAAAACACACTTAGCTAAAGAAGATATAAGATGGCAAATAAGCACATAAAAAGATACTTACATCAGCAGTCATTAAAATGCCAAAACCACAGTAAGATGCCACTCACTACACAGCTGTAAGAATGTCTGAAATTAATATAATAACCAAGCCAAGTTTTGACAGATATAAAACACTGGAGCTCTCATACCCCGCTGTGGGAATGTGAAACGGTGCAGCCACTTTGGAAAACAGTTTGTGAGTTTCTTAAAAAGTTTCATATGTATTGTAGCCATCGTCACACAACCCAGCCATTCCAGTCCCAGGTATTTATCCAACAGAAACAAAAGCATTATATCCACACAAAAACGTACACACTCAAAACAGCTTTATTTGTATTTGTCAAAAATAAAAACCCAAAATGTCTTTTAATAGATCAGTATGAAAATGTGACCTAGCCATATAAAGGAATACTCAGCAATAAAAATTAATAAGGTATTGATACACACATTACAGATAAAATTCAAAATCATTATGCAGAGTGAAGAATCCAGTTGTAGCCTGTATTCCAATAGTATCAGTTATACAAATTCTAGAAAATGCAGGCAAATCTATAATTATAGAAAGCTGAGGTCCAGGTACAGGGGAGGACAGGAAGGAGTGAGGGGTAGGATTACAGTGAGGCAAACAAAAATTTTCAAGGATGACAGACACACTTGTTAACTTTCGTTGTGGCAGTGGTTTTATGCATGTATACACATACCAAAACTAACCAAATTTCACATCTAAATATGTAAAGTTTATTATACCTTAAAAGCACACCTTATAATGTACCTTGGTTATTGTATATTAACATTTTTATTATTATTTTACTTTTTTTTTTTAAGACAGAGTCTCACTCTGTAGCCCAGGCTGGAGTACAGTGGTGCAATCCCAGTTCACTGCAACCTCTGCCTCCCAGGTTCAAGTAATTCTCACTCCTCAACCACCCGAGTAGCTGGGATTACAGGGATGCCCCACCACACTTCGCTAATTTTTGTATTTTTAGTAGAGATGGGGTTTTGCCATGTTGGCCAGGCTGGTCTCAAACTCCTGGCCTCATGTGATCCACCCAACTCAGCTTCACAAAGTCTGGGATTACAGACGTGAGCCACCGTGCCCAGCCCATTTTTATGTAATGTATTTTTTTTAGAAAGACAAAAGCACTCAGTTGCTATATAACTATATAGCTGTGTAACCAGCTGTATAGTTGTGTTTAAAAGCAAAAGACAAAACAAAAATAAAATGCCAGGAAACTCTGAAAATAAACAAGAAGATAAAGCAGGCAAAAATTTCTATCTCCCAGCATTCATATAAAATTAATTCCAGTTAGAGACCCAAATGTTTCCATAATTTATATGGAATTTCTATAAATCAGTAACAAAAAGAATAGACCCAATTGAAAAGTAAGCAAATACCTTGAACGGTCAAATCACAGATGGGGAAACAGCAAGGGCCAAGCAACATAGGAAAAGATGCTCATGCTCATTAGTAAGCAACTTACAAACCCCTCTGAGATTTCACTTCAAGTTGAATAGATGGATAAACCACGAGGTCTGACAATCCCGAATGTTGGTGAGGATGTGCAACAAGAATTCTCAGACTCCTTATGGGAGCATAAGCTGCCATGCCCACTTCAGGACACAAGTTGGCATAACTTATGTAAGTTGAGGCTATGCATGCCTGTGAACCAGCTACTACACAGCTAGGTACATATCTTAAGAGAAATTTTGCACGAGTTCCCAAGGAGGCATACAAGAACACAGAGGAAGATTATTTCAGAGCCAAAAAGTTAGAAACAACTTAGTAATATTATGTGCAGAGAAGTTTACAGACATGCAAAACAACACCCTATGTGAGTGAAGAACCCATTGGCTGGAATAAGAGGATAAAGACAGTCATGGAATGCTAATTCAGAAAACAGAGGCAGTGCAGCCGGACACAGTCAGGGAAAGTACAGGGCTACTGCCTGGTTTTATATCATGCTATCTCTTAGGGTGTAGGGCTGCCCCAACCCTACTTATTGCACAGTTTTTCATACCTTTCTATAACCTCTATAACCTTAAATAATCTATGACAAAATAAACAAAGTTATGAGAATTTACAGGATAGAACTGATGCACAAAAATGTTACCAGGTTAAGAATAGAAACTGGCCAGGTGCGGTGGCTCACGCCTGTAATCCCAGCATTTTGGGGGGCCAAAGCGGTTGGACTGCCTGAGCTCAGGAGTTTGAGACCAGCCTGATCAATACAGTGAAACCCTGTCTCTACTAAAAATACAAAAAAAATTTAACTGGCCATGGTGGCAGGCACCTGTAGTCCCAGCTACTCTGTAGGCTGAGACAGGGGAATCACATGAACCCCGCTGAGCTGAGATCATGCCATTGCACTTCCACCTGGAAAACAGAGCAAGACTGTGCCTGAAAAAAAAGAAAAAAGAGTAGAAATGGCAAACATGTAGCAGGGGCAGGGATTCAGTCTCAAAGAACAGGTATTGTTTTGAAGATCAAGCCAACCATATGAGCCCAAGAATGGAGAAATCTTAAATGTGCTTGAGAAAGGAAGCCAAGTGAGGAGTGAGGCTCCCTGACGGAGGAAGGAGATAGAATGCCACAGGTGCCCTCTCCTGCGGGAGGCACACAGTGTGGAAGGCAGGCAGTGCCATGCAGCCTTTACCAGTGGTCCGGGAGGCCTGAAGAAGAGCTTCCTCCTAGCACCTCAAAGACAGCCCCTCCTTCCTTACCTACTGAGCTCCTCACTGCCCTGCACCCTTGCCTGCCCAGGGCTTCTCACTCACCTGGACAAAGGTCCAGAAGATGTTTACTCTCCTCTCTCCAAGGTTCGTCCCCTTGCTCCAGCTGTGCGATGAGCTTTGGTTTGGAAAATGCAATTCCTACTCACAGGAAAAAAAAACAAAAAAACAACAACAAAAAAACAAGGTGACCTTGAGTTAGGGACTTAGGAGGCTATCTCAGAACTCAGAGGCAACCTACGAATGCAGTAAGCCCAGAAGGCTGTAGGGAGGTGCAGAGGTGAAGTAAACAATGTCAGAATGCCGAGAAAGGATGAATACAGGGAGGGAATCCTAGACCTAAAGGTAATATACTGATTCTACCCTGTGCTGGAGTCAATCAAAATATTCCTCCATTTGAAGGAAGATAACCTTAGAGGAGGAGGCCAGCCAGGGTAAACAGGCCTGAAAATGCAGTGTCAGACATAACACACACACACACACACACACACACACACACACACACACACACACACAAAACTTCACTATAAAAGCCGGGCATTTTCTGGGAGAATAGGAGAAAAAAACTGTTTTTCTTTCCAAGTCAGAAGCACGGCAGCTGCTACGTAAGAGCTTAAAATGCGCACAAGCAAGCCAGGCGCGGTGGCTCAAGCCTGTAATCCCAGCGCTTTGGGAGGCCGAGGCAGGCAGATCACGAGGTCAAGAGATCGAGACCACCCTGGTCAACATGGTGAAACCCCGTCTCTACTAAAAATACAAAAAATTAGCTGGGTGTGGTGGCATGTGCCTGTAGTCCTAGCTACTTGGGAGGCTGAGGCAGGAGAATTGCCTGAATCCAGGAGGCGGAGGTTGCGGTGAGCCAAGATCGCGCCATTGCACTCCAGCCTGGGTAATAAGAGTGAAACTCCGTCTCAAAAAAAAAAAAAAATGCACACAAGCAGAATCTGAAACCTTAAACAGGCCAGCCTTACCCAGTGAGACCAGATGGCTATAGTTCTCCAGCATCACTTCCCTGTACAGGGTCCTCTGAGCAGAACTCAATAGCTTCCACTCCTTCTGGGTGAAGGCCACAGCCACATCCCAGAAGGCCATCAATGCCTGTAACACAAACACATCCCTGCTCACTCAAGAGCCAGCCAGGCTCACTAACCAACTTAAGCTGCTAGTCAAGGCAGAAAGACAGGCAGTCCTGGGGCACCCAAGTGAGACTGATGGTTCCTGCTTTTAACCTGAAACCTGGTTCCATATGTTCAAGACTATTAATTCCCTCCATACATTGATGCTGGTTTTATTTCTGGGCTCTCTGTTCTACTGATCAAACACACAGATTTGATCACTGCAGCTACAAAGCAGGACTTGAAATCCGGTAAACCAATTTCTCTCACTTCATTCTTCATGCTAAAAGTTGATTTAGCTATTCTAAAATAGCCTGTGTCTTTCTACTGCATATTTTAGAATTATCTAGTCTATATCCCCAAAGCTCTTGCTGAAATTTTGATAGGATTCCACTAAACCTGTATACCAATTTGGTGAGAACTTATGTCTTTACTATGTTGAATTCTCAAATCCATGAACACGGTATGTCTTCTCCATTTATTTAGACAGTGTACGAATTTCTTTCATCAGCATTTTGTGTTTCAGCAAACAGACCCTACATGTTTTGTTAGATTTACACCTAAGAATTTCTTCAGCTTTCTTTTCTTAGTAATTTTAATGGTAATGTATTTTAACTTCAGTGACCATATGTTCATGCTATGATATATGATACAATTGTCTGTTTTATCTTGTATACGGCAACCTGACTAAACTTACTTAGCTTTATTTTTTTTTCTAATTAAAAATTTTTATATTCAAATTATAATGCACACATAGAAATGTGTCAAAATAAAAGTAGGAAATACAGCAACGTATCATAAACAGTCAAGTAACCATCATGTAGGGCAAGACAAGGAACACTGCAAACAGCCTGGGTCCACCTCCAGTGACACTTTCCAAGCCCCTATACCTTTCTTCACATCTCCTGAGGTAAGTAATATCCAAAATCTGTGATCATTTCCTTGATTTTCTTTATACTTCACCAACTAGGTTTGTGACCCTAAACTCAGTATCTTGGTTTGGTTTGCTTTGAACTGTGTATCGGTACAATCCTATATGTTCTTATTCATGGCTTCCTAGACTCAACTTACTTAGCTTTAAAAGCTTTTCTTCCCTTCATTCCTTGAGATTTTCTTCATAGACAATCACGTTCTCTGTAAATAGGAGCAATTTCATTTCTTTGCTAATGATCTGTATGTCTTTTATTTCCTTTTCTTGCCTTATTGCTGTGGTTAGAAGCTTTCAGCACTATGTTGAATGAGAATGGTAAGAACAGATAAACCTTGGTTTGTTCCCAATCGTGGAAGGAAAGCATTCAGTCTTTCCCCATTAATACTGTTCCATAGACCAGAATCAGAGTAGATGTTTAAAAACAATCTTTAATTTAAATTAAATTAAATTAAAAATACTGTTTCACAAACATTAAAATAGCCACTACAAGAAAAAAGGAAAAACATATTTTTGTGGGGTATAGAGAAATTGGAAACTTGCACACTGCCGACGGGAACGTAAAATGGTACAGTTTCTATGAAACACAGCTTGGCAGTTCCTCAAAAACTCAAACATGTAATTACCATCTGATCTAGCAATTCCACTCCTAGGTATATACCCCCAAGCTTGAAAGTAGGGACTCAAACAGATACGTGGATACCAATGTTCATAGCAGCACTGTTTACACTAGCTGGAAACAACCTGAATATTTATCAACTGAATGAATAAAGAAAATGTGAATAAAGATGGATAAAGAAAATGTGGTATATACATACAATGAAATATTTTTCAGCCTTAAAAAGGAGGGACATTCTGATGGATGTTTTTAGGAGCTAAGCCTTGAAAATAGCCAAGTGACATAGGCCAGTCACAAAAGGACAAATATTGTCTGATTCCATTTATGTAAGGTACCTAGAATAGGCAAATTCATACAGACAAAGTAAAACAGAGGTTACCAGGGGCTGGGAGGAGTGGGGATGGGGAGTTATTGTTTAATGGATACACAATTTCTATTTGGGGTGATGAAAAAATCCTGGAAAGTGTTGATGGTTGTACACCAGTGTGAACGTAGTTAATGCCACTGAATTGTAAAAGGTTATAAAACGGTCAATTTTGTGTTATGTATTATCAAATTTTTTTTCAAGAACTGAATGGCGATGTATTTTAAACACTCATATTTTGTTTCTTCTCTCATGTTTCTCCCTTTGCGTGTTTCTTTTCCACAATTCTATGCCACTGTCCATCAGACCCGGGCACCCGCGGCTGCCACGTTTCAGACGATCGTATGGGGAAGCCGTTTCAGTCACAGTCACAGGAAGGCCGGCCACAGGACACAACAGAGCAAGGCTTTAAAAATTACTCAAAAGGGAAGAAAACCCTTGAAAGCCTCAGGCCCACCCTCCTGTCCCCAAGGAAGATGCCCCCGGCGGCGGTTCCTCCCGAGCCTGGCTGCTGTCACAGCGGCCCTCTCCTCTGCCATTGTCTGCCCTGGCATCTCTCAGAGGAAGCTTTCACATCAATCTCCAGAAACAGAAACAAAACAGTCCCAGCCCTCCCCACACCACATCCAAGTATACATGAGGGATAAAATTACATTTGTACAAAAATAGATTTTTTTACCTTTCCAGATGCTTTATACATTTACTCTTATCTCTAGTCCCCTTATATATCCGTCATCCTCGCCAAAGTATTAACTATGCGGCCCAGCTAAGGCATTGCTAAGGATTGGGAACGGCTAAAGCTGTCTGCTCCAAAGCATCTTAAAACAGATGCATCTCCTGCCTTGAGATACTCATTCGAACCCGGATTTCACCAAAGGAGGGTCGTTATGGACTTGCTTACACTAAGTAAATTTATAGGAAAACTGGGGAAATGTCTTGATTAAAAATAAATACGAAACATTGCTGGTGTGCGGCTCTCTCCACACACGTCTGTACAGCACATACGTGTTTACACCACACACCTGCGTGGATGGGCACCAGGTCACGCACCCTGAGCACAGCGGGGACATCAGCCGACCGCCCACAGGCTGCACATGCCGGCCAGGCCCTCCTGGGTGCCCCAACGGGGAAAGGCTCAGGGTCTTCACCAGCACTGCCATCAGGCCACCAGCCCAGAATTCTTGGGGAACACCGTGACTTGGAACACTGAAGGTCAGGGCTGTCTTTCCCAGAGCCCGTGTGCTTCCAGGGTGCAGAGGGCTGGTGGCTGACACAGGCTCTAGGGTGGAGGGTCCCAGCAGGCCAGCTTCCAAAACACACCTGACGAAGCCCAGGGTGGCCTGGCTCTGCGGCCTCTTCACTCCTCAGCCTCAGGAGCGCCATCGGAAGGCAAAGCAAGGAGGTGGCCAGCTGAGGAACATGCCTGAAGGCGCCGAGGTGCCCTGGTGGCCCAGGAAGCAGCCACTGAGAAGAGGGGCCTGCGGGGAAGCCGCTTCACCCAGCCGGGCCGAGCCGGGGACAGGCACAGGTGGCTCATGAGCTGATGTTAGTGCCAGGCCCCAGGGATGGGTGCAGCGAGGGTGCGGCCATGGCGCCTCGGCCTGTCGGGGAGGTGAGGGACGAGTTCACCTGGGTGGAGAAATCGGGCAGCAGCAAACGTTTGGCGTCCACGTCTGCCACTAACTCATGCCCGGCCGGCGGCGCGTGGAAGGCCGCGGTGCAGCGAGTTGTTGCAAAAGTCGCCCAACAATGTGAACTGCTTATGTCTGCTCGCCGCTCCCGCCGTGCGCCCGGCCTACCAAATTTTAAAATGAATGTTAGCTGTAGATTTTTAGAAGATTCTCCTTTGTTCCTATTGTACTGAGAGTTTGTTTACAAATGGTTATTGAATTTTGCCAAACTAATTGCATTAACTGATACAATCATGATTTTTCTTCTTTGGCCTACTGCTATGACCAACATTACACGACTTAAATTTTTAAAAAATTTTTTAACTAAATAAAGTTTTGCTTTATGTTGTTTTATGGCATAGAATGTGTCTATCTTTGTATATGTTTCCAAAGGCACATGAAAAGAATATGTATTCTGTTATTGGTTGGAATGTCTGCCATTTAAATTTAATTTCTGCTTGTTCTCTCGGCTTTTTACCTGTTTTCTTTTTTTTTTTTTTAATCCTTTGATTTCTCGGTAAACAATATAATACCTCTTTGTTTTCTTTACAACTTTCTCATGGGTTGCTCAAACCTTTTTTTTTTTTTTAGACAGTTTCACTCTTATCACCCACGCTGGAGTGCAATGGCACGATCTTGGCTCACCGCAACTTCCACCTCCCAGGTTCAAGTGATTCTCCTGGCTCAGCCTCCCCAGTAGCTGAGATGACAGGTATGTGCCACCATGTCCCACTAATTTTTATTTTTTTGTATTTTCAGTAGAGACAGGGGTGTCTCTGTGTTAGTCAGGCTGGTCTTGAACTCCAGACCTCAGGTGATCCGCCCTCCTTGGCCTCTCAAAGTGCTGGGACTACAGGCGTGAGCCACCACTCCTGGCCCAAATTTACTTTTTAATAATTCTATCTTGATTTGCCTAAAGTGTTTCTTAGGGTATTTCACTGTATAGCTTTTTTTTTTTTCTTTTTTTTTTTTTTGAGGCAGAATCTTGCTCTGTTGCCCAGGCTGGAGTGCAATGGCACCATCTTGGCTCACTGCATCCTCCGCCTCCTGGGTTCAAGCAATTCTTGTGCCTCAGCCTCCTGAGTAGCTGGGATTACAGGCTCTTGCTACTACACTCGGGTAATTTTTGAATTTTTAGTAGAGACAGGGTTTCGCCATGCTGTTCTTGAACTTCTGACCTCAGGTGATCCACCTGCCTCAGCCTCTCAAAGTACTGAAATTACAGGCATGAGCCACTGCACCTGGCCATTGTATAGCTTTTTAAGTGGTTGCTCTAGGTCAGGGGTCCCCAGACTTTTTACACAGGGGGGGCCAGTTCACTGTCCCTCAGACCGTTGGAGGGCTGCCACATACTGTGCTCCTCTCACTGACCACCAGTGAAAGAGGTGGCCCTTCCTGAAGTGTGGCAGGGGCCGGATAAATGGCCTCAGGGGGCCGCATGCGGCCCACGGGCCGTAGTTTGGGAACGCCTGCTCTAGGTACTACATTACATAATTTATCATATAGTTTATCATAATTTACTAGTGTCTCATTTTACCAGTTTGCTTTTCTGGTGTTTTCTGAGACAGGGTCTTCCTCCGACACCCAGGCTGAAGTGCAGCAGTGTGATCACGGCACACTGGAGCCTCAATCTCCCAGCCTAAAGCAATCCTCCCATCTCAGCCTCCCAAGTCGCTGGGACCACAGGTGTGCATCACCACACATGGCTTTTTTTTTTTTTTTTTTTTTTTTTAAGGAGAGAGTATCTTACTATGTTGCTCAGGCTGGTCTCAAACTCCTGAGCTCAAGCGATCCTCCTGCCTCAGCCTCACAAAGTGCTGGCATTACAAGGTATGCCACCATGCCTGGTCCACACATAACAAACACTTCCTAAAGTCCCACCTCTTAATATTATCACATTGGTGATTAAATTTCAACACATGAATTTTGGGAGACACATTCATACCACAGCAGAGGACTCAGTGTTTTGTAAATATGAGATTATGCTTTCAGCGAAGAGATCATTTTATTTCTTCCTGATTTGGATGCCTTTTCTTTTTGTTGCCTAATTACTCTGGCTAAAGCTGTCAGTACTATGAAATAGAATGGATAAAAGTGGGCATCCTTGCTTTGTTCCTATTCCCAGGGGAAAAGGTTTTATAGTCTCTCACCATTAAGAATGATGCTAGTTGTGAATTTTTCATACATGGCCCTTATCATGTTAAGGGAGTTTTCTTCCATACCTAGTTTACGGAGTGTTTTTTCATCATGAAAGGGTGTTCAATTCTGTCAAATGCTTTTCTACACCAAATAAGATGATCATGGGGTTTTTATCCTATATCATTAATGTGGTATATTACATTACTGATTTTCATCTGTGGAACTATCCTTTCATTCTGGGAGTAAATCCCACTTGGTCATAATATAATCCTTTTAATACGGTGCTGAATCCAATTTGAGAATATCTTTGGTAAGGACTGTTTTATCTATATTCTTAAAGGATATCTGGCTTATAGTCCTCTTTTCTTGTAGTATCTTTTTGATATCAGTGTTACACTGTCCTCACAGAATGAGTTAGGAAGTATATTCTCTTCACTTAGCTTCTGGGCTCGGGCTCTTTCAGGCTGCTTGGTGCCAGGGGGCTGCCCTATTCTCTTCAATATTTTAGAAGAGTCTGAGAAAGATTTGTGTTAACTCTTCTTTATATGTTTGGTGGAATTAACAAGCAGAACCATCTGCTCATGGGCTTTTTTTTCTTGGGAGGATTTTTTTTTTTCTTGAGACAGACTCTCACTCTGTTGCCCAAGCTGGAGTACAATGGCATGATCTCACTGCAATCTCCACCCCGCAGGTTCAAATGATTCTCCTCTCTCAGCCTCCCGAGTAGCGGGAATTACAGGCGTCTGCCACCATGCCTGGCTAATTTTTGTATTTTTAGTAGAGATGAGATTTTGCCATCTCGGCCAGGCTGGATCTCGAACTCCTGACCTCAAGTTATCCACCTACCTTGGCCTCCCAAAGTGCTGGGGTTACAGGTGTGAGCTACCATGCCCAGGCTTTGGGAGGATTTTTATTACTAATTCAATATACTTACTAGTTATAGATTTATTTATTTATTTATTTATTTATTATTTATTTATTTGAAGAGTCTCGCTCTGTCACCCAGGCTGGAGTGCAGTGATGTGATCTCGGCTCACCGCAACCTCCAGCTCCTGGGTTCAAGGGATACTCTTGCCTTAGCCTCCTGAGTAGCTGGGATTACAGGCACACACCACCATGCCCAGCTAATTTTTGTATTTTTAGTAGAGACGAAGTTTCACCCTGTTGGTCAGGCTGGTCTCCAACTCCTGACCTCGTGACCTGCCCACCTTGGCCTCCCAAAGTGCTGGGATTACAGGCGTGAGCCACGCACTCACCCCTCCATCAGTTTTAATAAACTACATGTTTTTAGAAATTTGTACGTTTCACTTGGTTAGCAAATTTAATGGTATACATTTGTTCATACTATTCCTTTATAATCCTTATTTCCTTAAAATGGGCAGTAATGGCTTCAATTTCATTTGAGTTTAGTAATTTGAGTCTTTTTTTGTTAGATAACCTAGCTAAAGGTTTATGCATTTTGTTCATCTTTTTACGTAACTTTTAGTTCCACTGACTCTCTGTTGTCTTTTCTCTCTATTCATCTTTGCTCTATCCTTTACTGTTTTCTTCCTTCTGCTACCTTCAGCTTAGCTTGTTCTTTTTCTAGTTCCATACTGTGTATAATAAGGCCACTGACTGGAACCGTGCATTTTCCTCTTAGCACTGCTTTTCCTGTATTGCATAAGTTTTAGTGGGTTGTTTTCAGTTCCATTCATCTCAAGGTATATTCTACTGTTCCTTGATTTTCTCCTTGATCCATTCACTGTTTATATGTTCTTTAATTTCCACATATTCACTAATTTTCTGGGATTCCTTTTTTGTTTCATTCCATTACGATCAGAAAGATACTTTGTATTATTTAAATCATTTCAAATACGTTAAGACTTATTTTGTGGCCTAACGTACGGCCTATCCTAGAGAAAGTTCCATGTGTGCTTCAGTAGAATGTGCATTCTGCGATTGTTGGGTGAAGTGTTCTGTATACAGATGCCCCTCAACTTACACTGGGATTACATCCTGATAAACTCATTGCAAGTCGAAAGGTTGTTGTTGAGGACCATTTGTATATCAGTTAAGCACAACTGGTTTATAGTGTAAATCCTATATTTTCTTATTGACCTCTTATATGGTTGTTCTAGCTGTTGTTGAAAGTGAGGTATTAAAGTCTCCAATCATTATTATAGAACTACTTTTCTCTTCAATTATGTGAATTTTTACTTCATATATTTTGAAGCTATGTTGGGGGTATGCTTATAATTCTATCTTCTTTCAGTAGTGAATGTTTCATTAGCACATGATGTCCTCTTAATCTCACATAACCTTTTGTGATTTAAAGTCTATTTTGTCTCGCAATGATATAGCCACCACAGCTTTTGGTTACTGTTTGCATAAATTATCTTTTTTTCTATCCTTTTACTTTCAACCTCTCTGCTTCCTGTTATCTACAGTGAGTCTCTTGTACAGAGTACACAGATGATTTTTAGTTTTATTTTTACTCCAGTCTGCCAATCCATGCATATGCTTTGGGTTTAAGCCATCTACACTTAATGTGGTTACTGATAAGGAAGGATTTACTTTTGCCATTTAGCCATAATACCAACTTTGTTTCAACAGTACACAAACATTACGCTCCTACATCTTTCCACCCCTCCCTTCTCTGTTGTAATTGTCACATATTACATCTTTATGTATTATATGCCTATTAACATAGATTTATGATTTTTATGCACATGTTAATTTTACCTACGAAGTTACCTTTACTAGTGTTCTTTTTATCCCCTATGCTTTAGAGTTTCTGCCTAGCTTCCTTTCATTTCAGAAAGGATGTCACATTTTTCTGTAGGGCAGATGTGTTAATAAACTCCCTCAGCTTTTGTTTATCTAGAAATGTCTTAATTTCTCCTTCATTCTTGAAGGATAGTTTTGCCAGGTATAGCATTCTTAGTTGACAGTGTTCTCTTACAATATCTTAACTGTTATCTCACTCACTTGTGGCTTTCATAGT